GGGGAGCGGCGCAGCCCTCAAGTGGATGCTGCAGCCTGGGCGAACAGATGTCAACCTAACACTCACGATTGAGGATTCCAAGGGATTGCAACGCAACATTGTCGGCACGACCTCGGTCGTCGGGCTGCCGTGCGTCTCCTGCCAGACGTCCGAGGTCGTGCTCGCCGCGGCGCCCGAGGGGCGCTGCGCCGCAGACGCGTCGGCGGCCAACGCGGCGCGGCTGCTGCGCAAGTCCCCGCCCCCGGGGGTCGAGATCGCTTTCGCCCGCAACATGTCTCTGGCGGTCGGCGCGCGTGCGGTCTCTGTGGTTGCGACCACCCCCATTTCGCGCGTCAGCGCCGGCTGCACCGCCCCCACGGTTAGGGTAGAGGGCGAGGCCCCTCGGGCCGCGCGCATGCTGAAGCCGGCCGGCGTGTGCGCGATGCCGGGGCCTGGGCGCTGGGCTTGTTGGAGCGTGGCGGACCTGGCGGCCCCCCCGCGCGACTGCAGGTCGGAGCGGCCGCCGGCGTACGCGATTTCGTGCAGCCACCACGGCGCGACGCTCCCAAAGGCGGCCTGCGTCGCGCTGCGCGACGGCCGCGTGTGCGTGCGGGCGCCCGCGGCGGACGGCGTCGGCAGCAGCGTGGCGGGCAGGTTCCGGATCGATTTCCAGGACGGCTCTGGCAACTCGGTCGCGCCCATGTACGTGCCGGTCCTTGTGCACGCTCGACCCAAGGCGGGCGGGAACGCCTGCCTGCCTGCCACTCTGGCTGACCTCCCCTCATTGGTGGGGCGCCGGTAGGCTGACCGTGCCCGCCTTGGGCCTGCAGCCGTCGCCGCACCAATGTTTTGACCTTGGATACAAACAACAAACATAAATCAGCTGTGCAAGTGGCTCCCGGGGTACTTGGGGTGGGTCGGTCCACACACACATACATTTGGAAAATCGGATCTTTTCTCAAGACCTTTTGATTGGATTGCATGCTATCGCATGGAGGGTTCCATGAACAAGATTGTGCAAGACTGGATTGTTGGATCATTCCTGTAGGGCAAAGGGCTGCAATTGCTCTTTGTGCTTGTACACAGCACCCTGCCTCGTTTCGGAGAGCATCTTTACCCATCCATCGATCCTGCAGGCTTTGCCTGAGAGGGCACTGATCTGCGACATGCCGCCCTGCCGCCCGTTTGCTGCACCCAATGCGCTTGCGGGGCCGCGGTGCCGGGCTCGCTGGCTGTCTTGGCCATAACATGTCCTCCAGGCACCACCACCTGGGAAGCGGGGAGGTTGACACAGGTCTGAGTCTCAGTCGTTTGACCGGAGTGCTTTTGCTTGGATCAGCAAGCAGGTTCAGCTTGTAGAAGTGTATTGGAAGTGTGTTGATTACACATTCGGAGGGGTGCATGTGCTGGCCGAGGTGATTAGTGGCGCCCTGGCATGGGTCCAAGCCTCTCCACCTCAACTGATAGAAAACAGTAATCAGCAACGCGAGCTGCCCGGCCACCGTCGCCAGGTGCCCTCGTGCGCAAATAATTTGGTTTGAGGGTGCTGCAGTTGGGGATCTGCAATGCGACGCCCGCGGGCGTTGGTGTCTGGACATGCACGTGATGCGGGCCAATCACCAGGCGGGGGGTGCCGGCCCGACAAACAGTGAGGCAGCGACCGTGATGACAAGATGGGGTGGCAGGCAGGGGCCGCGCCAGGTGCACCGCTTGCTGGGACGGAGTAAACTCACTGCCGCGGGTGCAGCGACGCAGGTGCCGCGGCACAACAAATCATGTGAAGGAAGATGCCGTTTCTGCTCCACAACGCAACTGTCTTTCAAACCAAACACGAGTCGTCCAGACCAGCTGTATCACAACACAGCAAAACCCGGGGAATCAATGCAGTGACCACTACAAAATCCAGAGCTGTGCACCTGCAATCAACCGCACGTGTGCCATCTCCCACCCAGTACAGCGCCCAAAAGTATGAATGGCTTCCAGCAAGACCGCAGTACACCAATGAATGAATGCGGCCGCAAGGCCGGCTCCCTTCACTCCGCATGCGCAAGAGCGCCGCTGGCGCACTACGGCGGCGCCTCTTATGCTGCCGCACGCTCTCTTGCTCCACTCGCATGCCGTCAACCCCCCGCGGCATACGTCTGCCCGAGCAGGCCTCGCAGCGCGCCTGCAGGCGCCGCACGCCCCAAGCGCCGCGCCGCGCTCAACGCATCACAACCCGGCGATTGCCGACGCGCCGCACGCGCTGTTGCTCGCGCCTGGCGCCATCGGCCAGCTCATCCGCTTGCACAGCGCGCCGAGGCGCGGCTTCGAGCCGCCCTGGCTGGCCTGAAGCTGCTTGATGAGAGCCCCCGCCGCGACCTGCAGCTCGGGCAGCGGCACGCGCAGGGCCTCGTCCGGGGCCCACACGACCAGCGGCAGCCGCCACACGAGCCCGCCCCCGCCCGGCCGCGCGTCCTGGATGCCCCACGGCGGCAGCCGCGGCGCGGCGGCCGGCGCGGGGAGCGGGCCGCCGGCGGG